CAGGCAGCTGGAAAGTAAGGAAGCCACATGCTCCGATGCTGTGAGAGGTGGCCTGGGAGACCCAAGTGTCACCAGCATTAGCAAAAGGCATTTACTTCTCCTGACAACAGAACCATGGCAGGACATGATGCGGGGCAAGAAGCCCGAGCGTCAGCACCCTGGAGACGGGCAGCTTCAACTCAGTACTGTCACCGAAGTAATGTGAAACAATCAACAATGACCTACCACTGCCTTTGGACTTATCGTTGGGGGATGGAACGGGGTGCCATACAGAAAACAGGCGCCGTCGCCCTGCGCCCGTGGAAGCACCCCGAGACTTCCTGTGGATGATGATAGGAAACTGTGAAAATAGAGCTTGAGATCCAGGTGCCAAGGTGAATGTTCCCCGCGTCTACTGCCCATGAAAATCACTGAACTTCCCCACTGCTAAAAACAGAGACTAAGAGAGGCTTGAGTCCTCTGATTCCTGCACGTCCTTGAATGAAAAAGGAACCAAGACTGATGAATCTTGTAGATGATCACCCCAGGGGGGTTTCACGAATTTCTTTTTCCTTCAGAATCTGCGATAAGCCTTCAGCCCAAAAGGATGCCGCCAGCACTGCCGATGGGCCAGCAATAGCAAAGCTGGTTGTGTCGGGGACCACGGGTTTGCTGAGGTAACAGTGGCTCTCTGTGGAACATGCTGACACATCCCTTACCCACCCTTTTCCCACTGGCCCTAAAGGAGGAGGATTGGAGGCAAGGACCCAGAGTGGGGTCCCTGCTATCTTTACCTCCATGTTTTGCCTTTCTTAAAAATCTCACAACTTGTGTATTAAAAAAACCACCAACCAACCAGTGATATATCACAGCATGAAATATTTAGAAAAAGGGGTCTTTTCACAGGCTCATTTTAAATTATGGAGTGCAATAAGTCCCTCCCCTGACCCCGGCACCCCAAGCTCTTTAGAAAATAGTGCTGTCCTCTCTTGCTGAAAGGGTTTCCCTTCACACCCACTTGGCCAGCCACGCACACTTTCGTATTAATGCCAGCTGCCCCTGCCTCTCCATGGTGGGGGTGAGGAGTAGAACGTTAACTGATGGTTAATTCCCTGCACTAGCTGATTTAAAACAAAATGTCTCCTACGTTGTAATTGTTTGGGATCTTCTTTTAAGAACGAGTGTGCTTTTTGGTTTTTAAATTTAGTGTAATATAGCTCTAATGCTGGGTGGTTTCTTTCTTACTTAGCATTGGTGGGGTTAAAGCTACCACTTCCTGCCCCCCACACCTTTGCCACTCATTGACTTTATGAAGATTTTAATTTTCTTTTTCTACATGAGTTGATGCGTAGAGAAAGAAAGCTGGTAAAAGGTGTTAGTGTTTACATTTTTGGTTAAAATAAACTGTTTAATATGATACTGTACTTAAAAAAAAACCCAACAGTAGATAGATGGGATTTAGAGCAGATTTCAGGGAATAAAAAATTGTGCTTTGTAGGTAAAACTAGAATCTTAACTAACAGCTTGTCTTACTCCTGTAGCTCCAAGTGGCCTAAGGAAGGACCCCAAACCTCTCATGAGATTCCCTTCTGTTTATGAGGTGGCCCCATCTTAGAACATCTTGTCTAAAAAGTTTGCATCATGAACCAGAAGTTTCAGAAATTGGTTCAGTATACTACCACCTCCCCGATGGTGCCTTTCCTAGTGTCTGTTGACATCCTTCGAGCTATTTGTAAGTTGAATTGGCAGAGAGAGACAGATGAAGTTACTTTGGAATGGGGTGGTAGGGAGAGAATTGACCGCTTTTCCACAACCTGTCCTTAATGAGCTTGGGGTGGGGTGGGGGGCATTGGATGGGGAGGTGGGAGTGGCAGAAGTGTTGGCAATGTGTATTATTGTAGCACTTTTTAAAAAAAAATATTCTTCAGATTGAAGTTTTGGGTTTTGATGATGGTCTACACTGGCATTCTGTCCCCATTTTTAACCTGGGGAAGGAATGGGGAAAGGGATTTCCCGAAATGTGAGTTTTTTAGTTTTTCATACTGTCTGTATAGCCCTGGTGGTTCACAGAATCAGCTGACAGTGATTTTTTTTTTTCTGTGAATAATAAAAGAGAAAAGCCACTTGAGGTCCTATAAGTTCTACTCTTCCCCTCCCCCATCTCATTTCCTCTCCCTCCTGCCCAACTTGGCCTCCCGTAATTATCTCATTAGCTTTCAGCTTGGCTTCTCACCTGGAAAAATGTAAAATGCTTCAGAGTAACTACTCCTGTAGATCAAATCTCTCTGAAACAAAGAGCAATAATTAAGTCTCGTTAAGTTCTGCCTGTTTGGAAAGGCTTGCCAGAAGCAGGAGAGCAAACAGCAGGCCTGTTAGCTTGCAGAGACCTCTTCAGTAAATTCAACTCATGTGTACAGTGGACATTCTAGATTTGTTTACTCAGACTTGGAAGAGCTTTTGTCTTCAGTGACATTCCCTTGAAATCACTTTTCCTTCTTCTCCCTAAAAGAGAGGGCAGAATTGAAGAAAATTCATTCCTCTTGCTATGTTGGGGTTGTGGGGGCACTCTGAGCTGAATCAACCCACTGAATCAGCCGCCTTCCATGCATCTCCACAGATCTCCGCTGTGCGTCCTCACCAGCTTCCCCTTCTCTGCCTAGCTGGAGAGGGCTCAGAACTTTGGGGGCTGGTTGCCCAGTGCAGAGCATTGACATTTGCAAGATTTGCCGTTGGTCACCAATGACAGATCCCCTAGAATCTGGTCGTTGGGTCTTGTGCACACGTCCCAAGACCTGTGTTTCCTCAGAGAGCTAATGAGCTGGCAGCTTCTGAAGCTGCCTGTGATCCAGATTTAAGAAAAAAGAAAAGGAAAATGCACAACTCTCTTGTAGAATTCAGACCTTCTTGATTCCAGGAATTCGCCCTCTCAAGAAAACAAAAGCAAAAACAGCTCTTCGAAACACAGATTAATAATAGGAATTCATTGCTGAATCAGCAGATGATGCAGCAACATATTACACAGTTATTTCTGGAAATCTTTGCCTCTCGTGATACGGAAGACTTAAGATTTCCTACATCCATCCACCAGACTTGGGACCTCACTTTGGATTGACTGTCCTTGTTCCATGTTGAGTCACACAGATGCCATT